GGCATAAGCTAATGCTGTTTCCGAGGAGCCATAGCGTGGCAAGTTTGGAAACCCCTGTAGTATATGATACACAATTTGGTCTAACAATAAATATATGATAAATGAGGATGAACATTATTGTATGATATACAATATATGATAAATCCTAATAAAACACAATCTGATAAACTACGAAATATGATTATCAGCATATGATGAGATATAATAAATGAGACACAACATGACACCACGTGTTATAAGATCACATACAATAAGTCATGATATATGAAAAACAATGCTACTTCTGACATAGCACAATAAATAATACAGTCCTTATTGAAACTGGCGTAGCTCCTATGTGAGACCAACCTGGGCACGAGACAGTCAGCCCGCTGCAGAGTGGTGGCGTCCAGCTCGAACAGGGAGGCGATGTCATTCCCATAGGGAACAGAAACCAGGACGAACGCTATCTTCTCTGAAGCCTGGTGCTTCTTTTTGGAGTACACAGTATCCGACTCATTCTGAGGAGCAGAGGAAAGAGAAATCGGTGCAGTGAACTGGCAAAAAAAAAAAAAAACTCACAGGACTTAAAGTATATGTTATTTTGTTCTAATGTTTAAACCAGCTGTAGAAAACATTAGTCAAACTTACACAAATGTCTGCAAATGTAATGACTAGCCTACTTCATTCTGCAGATTGTGTTTTTGAACTAAACTTCCCATTTTTTGTGGATAATCTCATCAGTAATCTTACCTGAGGCCCCTAGATGGATGGTGTCCTTAGCCTATACTACCTATAATAAAGGTTATGACAATATTGTGGGGGTTATGACGCAAACACTTCCTGTATTCACCAACACAAACCACTTAGATCCAATATTTTTATTTTATACCCTTGAATAAAATATAAGTTGATGTATTTCAAATCTGGAATCACAGATAACCTAAAAATAAATCGATGAGACCTATAGGAGAGCACGGCATGGTTAGTGTCACGTTACCTTAGCCTTCCATCCTTAACGTTTAACAAATCAGCTCAACTGCTGATAAATATTGATGGATCCTGCTGCACGACAGAAGCACTATGACTGCATTTTACACTAACGAGGTATCAAACCACACAGACGTGCAGCCAGAGAGCCGTAACTTTTTGAGTTCCGGGCTGCAACACATAGCAGCAAGGGTTAATTCCTGCCACTGTTCTCTGCATGTCAATGGGAAGCTCCCCAGAGCTGGCTCCTCGCCTCGGCTTCTCCATCCTCCCACTGCCCTCCCCTCCTCCCTCGCCGCTGGTGACTCACCCAACCAGTTTAACACGGGCGAGTGAAGCAGAGCAGACAGCACGTCTGCCTCCCCTCCATCGCCGCTCGCTGGGCACCCCCACACGCCCAGACGTTATGTAAGGAGCCCCCTGTGAGTGTCAAATTCAGCATGTGCAGGAGAAAGAGTGCAAGGGCTGAGAGTTTTGTGTTGTGTGTGTGTGTGTTTTTTTTTTTTACCCTGCCAGAATACAAATGTGCCAGGCAGCAGCGAGCTGAAAGAAATGTCTGGATGTGGACTCAGAGTTTGGCAGGTTTCGTGTCTGTGTGTGTTACAGAGCAGTCAGCAGAGAGAGGCGAGGGAGAACTTAACAAGTGCTGTTGCATAACCGGAGGATGAGGAGACGGAGAGGGGCCTTGAATGTCTAACTGCTGAGATAATTGTTGCTGCCTCTGGAATATTTACGAGTTTATTACCTCTAAGCAAAAATATAAATAAAAGAAAAAAGTATGGTTCATAGTTTTCGACACTGGCATCAGTTTAAATCATGAAGAAAATCTGTTTCATATCGTGACGATTGTGAGGTCAAATGTTTGGACTCACCTCTCCTTTGGACTCCGTGTTGTCTTTGAATTCTTGGTTCGCCTAGAGAGACATTTAGCAGTGAGTGACCTCAGGGTGACAGAGCTTTGATAACAGCCCTACACGGTCAAACTGCTCAGCAGCAGCACAGAATGTGTGATAGCTGGAATAACAATGGGAACACTGCCACCTACAGCACATTGTCTAAAATCCCCTTCAGCGTCGCTCGCTCTACAGACGGACTGGATCCCTCCCTCAGAGTGTGAAAACGAGCTCGTTTATGTGAGCTGCTCTGTGTGATCCRTCAAACGGCAATAAACGAGGCTCACCTCAGCTGCGAGGTAGTTCCCYGTCGCCAAGTGCTTGAATCGGAAAAGGCTGTTCCACTGACCGGCTCCGCCCCTGCAGGGGTCGGAGTGCACGACCTGTCACAGAAACACAACACTGGAATCATCAAATGCATCAAAGCACCAATTTTAACTCAACTAATTTAGACAGATGGCATTAAAGTGATTAAATATCCTAAATATGAAGTTAAGTAGAGTTAGAAATTAGAAAAGCCCAGCCATGTTTGGATTGTCAAACACTTGCTACATTCTTGAACTTATCTCTGCCGGACAGTTTCTTATGCTGCTACGCTGACATTTTCAACAATAAACACAGTGACTTGTGTGTGCTCTGGAACAAACTGTGTAATAATAACAGGAACTTTAAATCTGAGCTGATTACGAGGAACATGGAGTACAATCGATGGTAATACAAACTATAAAAAGCTAGCAGAAACAGACCTCCCGGCTTTAAGCATAAAGAGGAACTTCAGGCTGTAATTCATGAGAGATGACATCTGACTGTGAGAAAACTGGATCGCAGGTCAGCGTGTTTTTATTCAAACTAATTAAGTTTGTAGTTAAACATGTTCCAGCAGAGGGTCCGTTTGTTGGTAATCAGCTATTTGTGGCCAAAAAAGAAAATATATTCTTTAGTTTTATTTTGTCCACAAACAATGATGGTCCTAAAAGGTAAAATACAAACACAAATGAAAGGAGCAGCATTCCATGGAGGATATATCCTTCACCGTCTTGCATGATAGAGCTTTAATCTGAGATCATCTTATGATAAAAGGTGTTACACCCATTTTGGTCAAACCTTGCAAATATCAATATGTGGAATCTCTTTTGTGACATTTTATGCTCTAGATAGAAATATGTGTTGAAGGAGACTCGATATATGAACAATTTAGTGCATTAAAGTCAGCTGACTGTGGCAGCCATCTTGAATTGGATTGACTCCAAAAGCTATTCAGTTGTAGTCGTACATCCAATTATTAATTTCTGAAAGTTTCATTAAGAATTGATCAGTTGATTCATGAGACATTTTGCTAACAGACAGATAGATGTGACTCCACTGGTTCAATGCAAAGACATTGATAGGTCAGGTAATGTTTACAGTAAAAAGGGGGGATGACCCTCAACTACAACCACACAAGATTTTATCTCAATAACTTTAAAACTGACTGAGTTGTAGCCATTTTGTGTTCACCAAGGTTGTTTTTTTATTTATAGTATTTATTCATTTCATTAAAAAAAAAAAAAACATTACACACAAACATTATTGTTTAGCTGTGACAGCCATATTGAATGGGGTTAACTCCATAAACGAATAAGCTGAAGACGTTCATCAGATATTTTGCTAACACAGTTAGAGATGTTATTTGAGAATATTTTAACTGCTGCTGTTGTTTCTGTGTGAAAATGTTTTGCAAACCTGATGAATTGAAGAAAAATAATTCTTAACAGTATAATGTGAGTGCTGTACCTCCACCTCCCACAGGGCCTTGGAGCTGGTGGCTGAGGTGGCGGACTGCCGCAGCGTCGTCCTGAGGAAGACGTGCTGCTTCTTCATGTGCTTATCGCAGGTCAGAAACTTCTCCTGCTCGGCGTGAAACAGCCTCACCACGTCTCCCTGACAGAAGACAGCGTGCACCGCGTTAAAACCTCTTCGAAAGGGGGAAAAAAAAATAATTAAGCACAGGAAGTTTACACACCCCCTTCAGAACGTCCTCCCTGTAGTCACTGAACTTCATGAACAGGTTGACTTTCCAGCTGGTGTTACAGTTCACTGCATTCACCTGAGAATTAAAATAAATAATAATAATTTAAATTCAGAACAAACTGGTAGGAACAAAGTCTGCGAACTAGTCGTACCTCTTTGCAGCCGACGTTATCTAAAAGCTCGATGTTACTGGCGTGGAGGGGCTGCCCGGCGTTTACTGGCATCAGCACCACCAGGTCTCCGACCACCACCTTTGATGCCAGCGACAGATGAGAGTTAAACAAAAAGCAGGAGACGCACACTTTGCACGCTTTTACTGCAGCTGCTCAACAAATGAAACCGAGCAAAGAAGTGCGTCCATGCAAACAGCTTACTGAATGTCACTGTGTCTTTTCCACAAGAGTGATAAAGTAACATGCTGGCTTTCACACGGAGGAGTGGCTGAGCTGTTCTGAGTAAAAAGGCTCATTCATATCACGGTTGGGGATATGAATAAATAAAACTACGGTGATTATAACCTGTGGCTGCACATCAACACTTGCATAAAACATGCTCCGTAGGTCGGCAGCCACACTCAGGCACACTGTGGCTGCAGAGAAACGTTTTGTCAAAAACAATGTTAAAAGAGTGGACGAAAACCTGAAAGTCGTCATGCTTTCTTTAAAAAAAGAAAGAAAAAAAAAGGTGATGCATCCATGCTTTCCCACTTCCTTCTGTGCACAAACACCACGCACAATCAAGAGCAATACCTTCAATCATTGGAAGCTAAAGCCAGAGGAGAAGGACAAAAAAACATCAGAACCGTTACTAGAACAGGACAACAAACTGACAGTTCCACCGCAGGACGAGAGGAACGCCAGGTTTGATTCTCGTTGCTGTCATGTCAGCGGAGAGCCGATGGAAAGCAGGCGGTGTGTGTGTGTGTGTGTGTGTGTGTGGCGGGGGGGATGGACCTACATTGTCTCCTTCAGTGCGGAGCTTCCAGAAGGGCTGAATGTAGAACCAGGAGCCCTCGTTCCCGTCAGGGTCCAAAGAAACCCGCATGGCGTTCTTCTCGAGCAGCGCGGGCAGACGCTTGTTCACCGTCAGGTACTTGTTGCTCTTAATGTGGAGCAGCTGCAAGTCAAAGTCAGGCCTCAGAACAAACTCAATACAATCAAATAATAATGCAGAAAGACTAGGATATGTTAGTGTTTGTGCTTTAACAACCCAACAATAAACAAAATGTTGGATTTTTTTATTTTATTTTACTGTTACGCTTTTGGTTAAGTTTAGTTCAATTCAAAAACGAAACGTAAAGTARGAGTCTCTGTTCAGAGCAGAACCACAGTAATTCCTGAAGTGTAGCTTTTTTATTTTTGAGGTCTGCGCGTCACTTCTTGGTTCTGRTAAGGTTATATTTAAACTTATTCTAACAAGGATTAATAATAACCTTCAATATTGTTTGGTCAAAAATAGTTTGTCACTATTTTGTTTTTGTTGTGGTCGTAGCAACATTTGTCTGCAACAGTTATAAAAATAACTAGCGCTTTAATTAGTTCAAGCTTTAAAAATTTAAACTTTGATTGCTTGAATTCTGGAAACCAGTGGGTCGTCAGTTTCTCCCTTTAAGATGTTTTGAAATAATGTTTAAGTCTTAGTCTTCTGTGCTTTTTATGTAAAGTAAAATTCAGTTTTGTCAACTTAAATCAAACTGACTTTTGAAATATTTTCCACCTCTTTCTTTATAAAAAAAGTATTTATCGTTTATGGTTTTTGCCCCACTAACAGATTCTGAGTGTTTAAAACTTCTAATTCCAAACACTGTCCTGTAATGCTAACAAACTGAATGATTATATAACTTTTAATAGTAAGTTGGTAGAAGTTGTCTAAAACATCATTGTATGACATTGACAGGGTCTTTAATTAGCTAAAATTAAACTCCAGCGCCTTATCTCAGGAACTGCTCATGATAAGGTGATCAAAATAAAGCTTAAAAAGCAGAAATCAGGAAATATTTTGTTTATTTTGACCAATAATGATTTAACCCCTCGTATTGGCTGTAATGGGTCACATGTTACTGCTTGTCTTTAAAACCAATCTAAAGTTTCAGCAGCTGAAAGACAAGAAGAACAAGAATATTTGCAGCGGACATGTGGAAACTGCAGGTGTTTGCTGAAAAGATTACCTGAATGACATTACTGTATTTAACAATTTCCCCAAGGAGCTTCTTATTTTCTGTTTCATTCTGCTTCTGCTCCAACTCTGCAGCATGCTGAAAGTGAAAAAAAAATAATAAAAACAACTGGTAACCTTTAAAAAAGATAACACAATATATGAGTAGAGATTGTAGTTCGGGAGGAGAAAAAAACAGACCTGTAACTTTTTAAACAGTTCCCTTTGTGTGTTGTTGTTTCCTTGTTTTCCTTGTTTTGCCTTCCAGAATTGCTTCTGGGCTGAATATCTGTTCATGGGACACACCTTGAAGAGGCAGTCTGCAGGAAAACACCACAAATTCAGGATCAACAGAGTCGCAGACAAACAGTGTAAAGTTTTACTCAAAACATAGCAGAGCTGCTTTAAAAAAACTTTTTTAAAAAAATAACTGCCTGGAGCTTTTCTATACCACTCTAAATATTCTCCCAAACTAACATTGTGTCATATAACGATTTAAAATCATGTGTTTACGATTTAAATAAACTTTCACACACCTCTGAATTTTTTGGGAGGGTTGGTGAGATTGCCGGCATCGGGCTGAACCACACATCTGTCATCAACCAGCCTGGAGAGAAAAGCAATATTTATTACAGAACACAAATATTAGATTTATTCTGAAACACGTCATCTTTTATAGAAGACGCTTTCAGGTTATTTACAGACAAGCCAGTTCTCAGAGTTTAATTAAAAAGCCACCACCTTGAAAGTACAAAACAAAGGTTATGTTAAGATGAGAAGGGGCGGAGTTACAGACATTCTGATCAAATCTCATGCAACAATGGAATCTAATCTCTAAACTACGACTGCCTCAAACTTCAGCTGGATATCTGGTTCATTAGCTGTGGCGGCCATCTTTAAATGGGGTAACTCCAAAAGCTAATCAGTTGTAGACATTGAACCAAAGATTACGTTGAGTTTTATTATAATCCGTCCAGTGTTTCATGAGATATTTTGCTAGCAGATGATGAAATGAACATTCACTTTTGAAATATTGAGTACATTTTATTTATTTAATGCCTTTTCAAAAAGAAAAAAAATCACAAAAGAAAACTAAATCAAGGTAAAAAATAAAAAAAATAATAAAAAGGAAAAAAGGACATTTCCCACCAAAGTAGACATAAAAAGTTTTATTCTATTCTATGAAAGTCTAATAGGAAACTATCCAATTTGCCAGTTTTAAAAGATGAGTCTTCAGCTGTTAGCACAAACTGTAACACTGCCTCACAGCCAAATACAAAAAACATGAAACGGAACGCTTCAAACCACTCATTAGAATGGGACGTCCATCCAGGCCACCTGCAGGCTGAAAAGCTGAGCTGGATCCACATGAGAGAATTAAAAAAAGACACAGCTCACAGCTCTGAACTTGATGCTTGAACGTCTGAACCACTTTTAACGCAGCTTTGATCCGTCATGTGCAGCTGGGCATGAGGAAATCTGCTGGGTTTGCTCAAAGATAAATTATTAAAGGGAAATGAAATTACCAGATGAAATCAAAGACTTTCACTAAACACTTGGAAAAATGACTTGTAGATTCAAGAACTGTCAACACCAAACAGATCTGATGTGCAGGATTGTAGATTTGTATCTCTTTTATTCCTAGCAGTAATGCTTTTTTTTTTGTTTGTTTGTTTTTAATGTGTTTCAATTTCTAGTCCTGAGTGTGCATTTGTATTGTATTTATATTCTTGTATTTCATTGCTTTTTAAACATCATATCCAAGGGACTACAGACGCAAAATTACAGCATCACAATCACATCATTATTATTACACCATAGACACAAAGACAAACAAGCATACCAAATTTCAAAAAGGCAGCATTTGCAAATTTTAACTTGTGAATTGTCATTTGTTTTAATAAACTGCACTGTGCCCTTTTTAAAAAAATCTAATTAAAACAAAACAGAATGTGGCTTTCACAGTGAAAAGGTTGATTAAAGACAAACAAAGTGTCAAACAGTAACCTGCTGCCTCCTTCTGAACGTCACGTTCCGAGTCCAAACTACAAAGTTTTTATTTACAGGTAGCCCAAAAAAATGTGGTTGTGTACACAAGTAAATCACCTAAAGCTGAATGCATAATTTGTCACATTTCACATCCTTTATGTTTAAATGAGGAAAGGAGGAGGGTAAATAAATCTGCAGACATGAAATGTTTATTACAAACACTTTGTTTATGGCAGTAAATATGACCCAGCAGCTTTTAAAATAAAGTAGGTCCACAGAAAAAGTCAAAAGCTTATCATTACTGCATTATKAAAGGGTTCACTATTGATTTTGCAGAGAACTGCTCCCACTGCAATAAATCATTTATTCTATGCCCTTTATAAATGTAAATTTGATGTATTATCTCGGTTTTCTTCTTGCATGTGCATCTTCTTCGTTTTAAATGGGAGCTGCCTGAAAGAGCACTGAAAGGTTTTTAGTCAAATCAATAGACTCTTCCTGACTGCGATGTCCAGAATTGATTTAGATCCAATCCTGGTCCTCGAGAATCACTTTTCCTGCATGMTTTACAGGTTTCTCTGCTCCAACACACCTGACTTGGATGAACAGGCTTTCTGCAGGACATGAAGAAATTAATCACTGAATCAGGGTGTGTTGGAGCAGAGAAATTAATAAAACTTGCAGGATAGATGCTCTCAAGAACCAGAATTGGAGAATAATCATAACAATTCAAATAATCTGAAATCTTMTATCTTGGGAGTTTTAAACAAAGATCTTATGCAACATGTTGGTGCCTATATACTGCACCAACATAGCTCAACATSGGTAAGATGAACTGAATTATAGCTGACATCATGTTTGGTTGGGTCAGTCACTTTAAAGCTCACTTCTTGTTCTCTGTATTCTGATAAACACCAACTGACAACAACAAGATGGATGTGGAGGTGAGGTCAAACACCAAGGCTTCTCTCAAGGTTAGGTTACGTAAAAAAAATAAACAAAAAAAAGCTGATGAACATTAAAAGCAAAATGCATTCCTCGAAGGAATGCATTTTGCCCATCGTCTTCCATGACAGCGTTTTGGGTCAAGATGGAGTGTAGCTGTTTTAGTCAAACCTTGAAAATGTTGACCTCTTGCAGCATCACAAGAGTAAAGTTCTCAGAGTGTGTTAAAGGAGACACCATGCTTGTAAACTCTTCTTTTTCACATTTGAATCAATCATTTGTGGTCTAAATAAAGTAGAACTGCAATGATTTGGTCTGAATTCCTCCTTATTGTAACTCCACAAACCCCTCTTTCACCCCTTTTTTCTGGGTTGCATCTCAGATCAACTCGTTTTGAGGCTGTCTCTTTAAATCCTAATGAGTTGATTCACACCCAGCTTCCAGAATGATCCATACTAGTTTGYCAGAGGGGGTTACGACCATATAGTGGCACAAAACTTTTTTTTACAAGTTAATTAAAAGATGTTAACTTGTCCATCCAACATTACAAGTCCAGACCTTATTTGGCAGTTCCGTCGCAAATACTGTTTCAGAAAACATCATAGAAAATAGAAAAAACTGAATAGGCTGAAAAGTATGAACCAAACATAACACAAATATATCTTCGCAGCACCGGAAAACAAAAACAACTTTTCTCCACTCCTAGACACTCCAATTACACAACAAAAGGTATTTAATAGCTAAAAATGTGTTTTTGCATGATATGTACCCTTTAAGAATAACTTTCAGAATGTTCTTACTACGGCTGTTTCCTGAAAAGTTTTAATAAGATCCATTAGTTTGGGATATATTTTGATATTAAAAGGGGCAATATCATGTAAAATCAACTTTTTTGAGTTTTATATCATGTTATAA